GTCTCTGGTTAGCCAAAGGACACTGCAAATACGTATGTGCGTCTATGTAAGGTACGCTGATAAAATAAATGGTGTCGAAATATAACGGACCTTAGCAGCGGCCTTCTTGCCGGTCGCCTTGCATGCGACCTGCAGAGCCTTGCGCGAGGTGGCGAGAGCGAAAGCCATTTTAGATGTTCGTAAGGTGATCAGACTCTGCTGCACAAAGGAGAGAACTGATACCGGAAACACAGGCAACCAGCGCTTTTGTTTTGCAAGCAAATCTTGATGCCGTACGCACGCCGTATCCCTGTCCTGTCCGTGGGACAGGGCGCTTACCTAACAGAGATCGCAGGATACAGACATGGCACACCTGCAACACATGCGCTTAACAGCTATCTGCACTTGCACAGATTGGCATGAACGATTTGCTACACCTGCTTGCAAGTTTCATACATATTTCTGATGCAGGGATAACTCAGTGGCGACTGTATAAATGCTGTGACGTGCACGCTGAACATGGATTTTGATACGCACTACAATGCATTCTTTAGGCGCCAAAAGTGGTCTCTCCATGTTTGACCCTAGCTGTTCGGCCTTTACTCATTACCAGTACCGTAGGACGGGAGGACAGTAGCTGTTGTCCTTGCTAGGAAGCAAGCTGATATAATGGGTCACGCTGCTTAGGACGGCAAAGGGCATTCCATCCCGGACAGGGCCGGTGAACACAAGGTCCAAGCTCTGCTGGACCGCAAAAGGGCGACAGCGCCGAACCGGAGGCCGTTTAGGACCGAAGGAAAGCAACAAGCACGTGCGTAGCAACCTGTCGTCCGATCAAGGGAGGACGGTCGGCCTCGACCAAACGCATGAGCTCTTCGCAACTTACAATCGGCCACGGGCTTCCAAACGTCGGAGCCTAAGGCTGGCACCTGGGAAAAGCTCCTACTTTGCCCATGGCTTGCCTTTGACCTCTGAAGTACTGAACGGAACGCCAGCACGCCCTCTGTTTGTTACCTCTTTTGCCAGGGGTTTCACCACGCACGCTACATGTTCAGCACTCCACGCATGCTTAGCTTCAGGCTACCAATTCAACTGTGAAAGGAACAAAGAAGAACTTCTTGTGACCAGCAGTTTTATGCATAAAGTCGCGGGGCAGTACCAGATAGACAAGGGACAGCGGGTAGCCTATTTGTGTGTCATCCTGCCTTTCTGGGGGAGTACTGGACCCATGGCACTGGCATTCGGTATTTGGTTCTTAAGTTACGGGAGCAGGTGGTCAAACCATTGGCGATGCTGCATGCTCTGGCCTTGCGGATGCGAAACTGATCGAAAGGGGCCTGCCAGCCAGGGTGATACTGAAAGCAGTAGCCAGCATGCAGCGGCGTCCATCTGGTTGCCGAGCTTTTAAGACTCCATATCATTGCACGTTCCATGGTTCTACACCGGACTGTAATCCAGGTAACGGCATCACTCATTACAAGGCTCCAGTCCGACTTCGTGCCTTTTTCCTTCGACTTAAGTGTGGCGTGTGCGTGTGCGTATGTGCGTGTGTGTGTGTGTGCGTGTGTGTGTGTGTGCATGTGTGTGCGCGTGTGTGCATGTGTGTGGGTGTGGGTGTGCGTCTGTGTGTTTCTGCATGACAAGAAAAAGAAAGAGAGTGAGTGTGTGGTTTGTGTTTGTGTGTGTTTGTGTTTGTAAGTATGTGTGTGTGTTGGTGTGTGTGTGTGATTTTTTGTTATGCATATCGGCAGGTTTTTCGTGGTGCTGATGCTGTGCTATCCGAAACGGGACACATAAGTCCGAGGCGAGCGCCACAATAAGCCTTCTTGGTGCATCGGGGTACCTTCCAGTGGCAACGTAGTTCCTGGCTGTGAGGAAGGTAGCGAGCCTGGTTCGCGGAGGCCGAGGCCGCTGTACGCTAGAGGGATTGGCGATGACCAATGCCGCGCCAGTGATGATGTCGGCGGGGAGTGACCTACCAACGTGGTTTGCTGAAGTTTAACTCTTGCACTGTACGACAACCGAGGCCATCAACCCGCGATTTAGCGCCTAGCTCACTTCGCTAACACAGGACAGCCACGATAACCCTTGGCTTCTTTCGCGCGATAGAGCGTGGCTATATGCACCTCGAATCATCCCTCTGAATGACATGTTCCTTTAGCTCGTGTCTCGCGCGTGTTCTCCATGTGTGCCTGTTTGCGTGGCCGCCTTTGCAGTACGCGCCCACCAAAATGGCTGTATGTGCTCCCGCCCCAAGAAGCGGTGAAACAAGCACTGGAACCGAGACCTTCCTTATGTCATGAACACCGAAATGTTACAGGAGCTTGCTTGGCGCAACGCACCCAGCACGTGCATGCGCTTTGTATGAAGCTCTTGATATCTCACGTCTCACCGCCCAATACCCCACCCAAAAGTAAGAGCTCCACCTCAACACCCGTGCTGTGGGAAACCCCTACTGGGAAACACCCACATCAAAACTTCAGGCCCGTAACAGGACCGCTTCCGCCGCTGCTCACCACTCACCACGCGGGAACTCATCGCAGGAACACGACATCAAAAACAGAGGTGGCCACAGTGCGACAACGAGGTTCGATGGACATAACTGACAAGCACCCACGCA